ACCACTTCCCAGGAGTCATTCTATCATGAGCAATCCTAATTGTAAGATTTTCAAAAAAGAAAGAAAAAAACACCAATAATAATTCAAAATGGCACCTCACATATTTGGTTTTAGGCCTTTACATATATAGCCAAGTAATATTTCCTCATGCAATTTTTTATTTTATTCATTCCTATCCTTTCCTCGTAAAAGCTACCGCGGGTCAAACCTTGTATGAGCCATTAGCACAGATGACACCCTTTGCCCTCATCAAACTACCCTCTTTAAACTTAGGATGTCATCACTACCCTATTTCATAAGAAAGTATCTATTGGGCCTTCGATATCTAGTTATTGGAAAAATATTAAGTTTGAAAATATTCCTATATACTATTCCTATTGTCATATTTTTGGGCATTAACTTTTTGAAAGTTTTAAAACTCATTCATGTTAAGATGTCATCAATTTAAGTTACAAGCCTTTCACATGATGTTCATATTTATCAATCGGACCGTTTGGCAGAAGATCCCTCCTCATCTATTGAGGATTGTTCCCAAAAATTGGTGCCATTTTCAAATCTTCTTCCAAGAATACTGACTAGTGTCCATATAACCGCTAGCCCTTCAGTGGTGATTACTTCGTCAAAGGTTATCATCATCAAGAATACTCCACAAGCTCTAGAACAATTTTAATATCTTCCTATTGCTGAAAAAAAATCGATGATTATTTATGACAATAAGCTTTTAACTCTCATTAATCATAAAAAATGTCATCTCTCTAGAGAAAAGAAGATTTCAGGCCATATATATCAAAACCGACATCATTCAGAAAAAAATCTATAGTCACTGCTATTTTCACTAGGTTTCAGGCTAGACAATATAATTAAAGTCATTGCATCTCTTTTGCTTTATTATATTTTTCTTTTTTTTCTTTTAGTATACTCGGTAGATGTGATACCGGAGTTAATCCAAAATAAGAAAGAAAATATAATTAAGAAAAACCAATAAGCGGTTACAACCACACACGGAAATGGGAAATAACAACACGATACATGACACGACTAGGATGGATCACAGGTGGTGGTGGTGGCGCTGGTTATGGGCGGCTGGAACAGCGGCAATTTGTTGTTAGGGGTGGCAAAAACAAGGGGGCAGTGGGATAGGGGCGGCAGCAACATTTGGATAAGTGGGAGGTTGGTGACTGCAAGATAGAAAAGCTGAGAGGCTGGTAGGTGGCTAGGACGGGCGATAGGGAGGTATGGAGGCTATAAGCGACAACAAAGGTGTTGTCCTAGGGGTTGGTTACAACAGTTACGACGGCAACAGCGGATGAAAGGTTGTGGAGAATGGAGAAAGTCAAGGATAAATATCACCTTGAAAGTGAGATACAGCTGGAGCACCACTCAACCCTTGAAGGAGAATCATTATGTCGGAACGAGATACAACCAGAGTACCACTCGCCCTTGCATACAGTCCTAACCGGGAAAACAAGGGACGTCAACAGCTATCTTGACAGAAATGCAATCAAAACCTGGCCCAAAGCACAAGGAAAACAACAATGAGTTGAGCAAATCACAATTTTCTCACCCTGTTCGTGGCTTCAGCAAGGAAAGCTTGCCTTTTAGGCATCCTTATTTCTCATTACCTTATTTCTTACTTTCATATTTCTTATTTCTTTATTTTGCTATATAAAAATTAGGTTATTTTCTATTACGAAACGTTAATTTATGTTGCATTAGGGTCTTGAATTTTCAGTTATGTTGATTTTATGAAGTGAGAGACTTTCCGGTGCTAAGCTCTTCAGAGTGTTGTTCCATCTTTCTTTTACAAGTGGTGTATTTGTATCTTCCTTGGATCAGGTGGTGGAACCTCTTCGCCGTCGGAACATCGCCAATTCAGAGTTTTCTCTACTGTTTGCAACTGGGACAACCGCCGCAGACGTCGAACCTGCTCAGCAAATTTCTCCCTACAATCTCGTCGCCTTCGAACTCGGATTTACCTTTCCATTGCCATTTCATAACCTTCTCCCAACTAAATCCACTTCCAAAATAACTTCAAGGAGCCCTAGAATGATATCATCCGCTGTCAGAAACAGGTAAACCCTAAATTTTTAAGGATTTATCTTTCCTAAACCTAAACCAAGATTTCATGCAACCCGACCTAACACCCCCACCAAAAAATAATTATCCTAAATCATTCATATGCAATTCCTAGTCCCAACCATAAATTTTCAAAATCCAATATTTTTACATTCACCATATATTCGCCCCGACACCTACCACCAAAACCCTTAACTTCGACCAAGCTCTTATTTACAGCCCATCACCCGTTGAAACCTTGATCGTAAGCAATGAGCACAATGTTTTGGAGAAATCTGCAAACACGTGTCTAAATGCTTACTATGTAACAAAGCCTTGTCGCCTTTGAGATTAAACAATCCGATGAGGTCACCCGTAGCCAAAACGATGATTTGTCAGATTGAGAGGGGGAAATGAATCCCTTCCACCATATAGTTTCTAATGGTGAAGAACTACCAACTTGATGCTTTGGCATGGAATATCAGAGAAGCCAGAATCTTAAAATAAAGGTAAAATTAACGGATTTGAGAATGGTCGGGATCCAGATGAGTTTATTAAATGGCTTCAAAACGTGGAGCAAATTTTTAAGTACAAGGATGTTCCTCAGGACGAGAATTAAACTGGTAGCCATCAAACTCAAGAAAAATGCTTCATTGTTATGGGAGAACCTGAAGAGTATTTGGCAGTGAGAAGAAAAGCGTAAAATTATCACATTATCTAAGATGAAAAGGAGATGCAATGCAAATACCTTTCCCCAAATTATTGATAGAGCATGTCCATAAAGCTCTAAAATATGTTCCAGAGAGATTTTCATGGAGTACCTAACTGAATTTGATCTACTCATGTTGAAATGTGAGTTAGTGGAACTAGAGAGCACACAGTAGAAAAATGCCTTATAGGACTGAGATCATCCATCAATAGTGTTTCAGCTGCAGACATATTTATCCCTACTTGATGTAAGGACCCTAGCATTAAACGTGGAGAAACAGTAACGTTACCAGATGACTGTCACACCTTACTAGCATAGTTCAGTCGCAGAATCAAAAAGCAAGAGCAAACCCAAGGGAGCATCCAAGCTGAACATGCCTGAAGAGAAATCAGTCCAGTGTGGAGAAGAAGTGAACGAGAAGAAGTGGAGACCTCCAACACAACCAAATCCCTCCCAACAAAGAAGTGCCTCAAGTACCACGGGTTTGGACATATTGTGTTTGATTGTCCAAACAAAAGTACTATTTATTTAACAGAGTAGGGAGTAGTTGAAGAAATGAACAGTGACAAGAGAGAGGATTAAGACTTCATAGTGGATTCTCAACCTACAACCAACAAGGAAGAGACACCAATGATTCACGATGAGCCCATGAAAGAAACTCCAAGTAATTAAAATTGGTTGTTCTAGAATATAGTAAGTCCAAAAATCTGATACCATAAAAGCGGCAGCCCCTATTGAGGGAGTAACTCCTGCCCAATAGTTTTGTGTCTTGGATGGTTTCCACTGAGAGTGGTCCAGCAAGCCACCTATTTCATTCCAGAATTAGTTCCTCTAGACAGACTTGCTTATTAGATGATCTCAGTCAAGTATGAGAAATTGGGAAAGCAAGTTATATATTTAATGGCTTGAAACATGGCTACTGAAAATATTTGTCTATGTGTAGTTCCAGCTCAGGTTATGCAAAAAAATGATTATTTAATCTATCAGGGAAAACTTTGGAAGAACATACATGTTTTGGAGTTGTCTAAAATGGACATGAACATAAATTTTTATAGAAGGACTAACTCAGACAACAAGGCGATGACTTTGTTATGGTGGTGGTAGATCGAGTCCAAAATCTTCCAACAAAAAAGCCAAAGCTCTTCCTACCAAAGGAGAATGACGCGAGGACACGTCTACAAAAACATGGACACGGGATTTGCATATTCCAGCAATCATGAAATCAAATCCTGTCCCTGTAGGGGATTTTGGTGAGCTTTCCACGATCCCGGGAAACAATGGGATTTCACTATTCTGCGAAATCGAACCCCAACGATTGCGGGTTGAGCAAATCATGATCTTATCATCCCATTCGCAAATTCAGCGGGAAAGCTTGCCTTTTTTTGGCTACCACAAATCCTAAGGGGGGCCTTCCTTGCCATTTCCATATTTATTTTTTCTTTAAATTAGGTTATTTTCTATTAGGAGACTTTTATATTCGTTGTATTAGGTAATTGGATTCCAGTTTTGTTGATCATATGAAGTGAGACTTTCCTATTGGCTATGCTCTTCGAAGTATTATCTCTTCCTTTTGCATGTAGTGTATTTATATCTTGCTTGAGAGTAGGTGGTGGAAACTCATCACCGCTCAAACATCGCCGTTTTGGAGTTTTATCCACTGTTTGCAACCGGGGCAGCAACCGGCGATGTAATCTGCTGTCCCACAGCATATTTATCCCCGCAATTCCGTCCAAACGCCGTCAAACTCACATTTACATTTACCTTGCCATTCCATAACTACCTCCCCTCTAAATGAACTCTTAAAATACCTTCTAAGAGCCCTAACATGGTATCATTATTATTTTGCCTAGGATAATTGGATGAGATACCAAATTTCACCCGGCAATTGAAAAACAAGGCACAAGTTAGAAGAAGAAGAATCCTCCTCGCAAAATCTCAGATTTTGTTCGTCATGCATAACTGGATGGTATTCCTTACATGCTCTCCATAAAGGATTTTGTAGATAATACTTTACGCGGTTCTGTTAGAAGGACATAAGTACAGCACAGAAACTAGGAAAACAAATCGGATTATAAAATTTATGATATACTGTCAGTGACACAAATAATTGTGAGGATGTTAACCCAAAGAACCAAAAAAACTCAAAAAAATACAAATATTGTAAGAGAAAGGATAAACCCATCTTCAACCAATATATCTAAAGCAAATTATTGGACCTCAAATTAAATGGACTTACTTCATAAATGAAGGATTGAGCATGAGTTAAGTAAGGCAGTTCTCCAAGGAAAAAATAGTCCCTCTCTTCACAAGAAAACTGACGATTATTAGTGCACCATAGGGGTTTCTGAAAAGTTCAACAGGTAAACCATGATGAATGTGGCACATATCACTATAAAATGAACCAAGTCAAAATACCTAATCAGAAATTTTAATTAGAATATGCATACTATTTAGATAAAAGAGGATATAACTATAGGATATTAAAACTAACCTCAAGAAAGCTCAGTAGTACCAAGGCAAACAGATTAAGAGACCACAGAAAGTTAAAGCGAATATATATAAAGTAGAACCTCGCTACTCTATCAAATCTGATATCGTTCAGGACTTCTTCTGGTAAACCAATTCCATCTTCTGCCTGTAAGTGTTCATTTTAAGCATAAAAAAATATAACATACAACACTAAAACAGATTACATCCCAATCACAAATAATCAACTTGAGCAGAAAAAATGTGCTTCGAAGCACATACATAACTACAGTAAGCAAAAGTGGCCCATAATGTAGCATCAAGTTACAATACTTTGAACCTAAACTTAAGCTATAAGGGGTAGAAGCGGAAACAATAATAATGCTGCATAAAAACAAAATACTGTTTGCAAGGGCATATTTATGCAGTATCAAGCCTCAGTATTGCGATGTCATACAGCTCAAAATCCTCCTCTTAATCAACTACAATTATGATAGGAATAACTAGAATTATCTGATAGAGGTACGGATCATGAAAAAAAATTCAAAAAGAAAACCTGAATTATTACTCTCCTCACTTATTAGCTTTCTCACTCTCTACACCACCTTTTTTTCTCTCTAAATAAAGAGACATCTCACAAGCAACTTTTTAAATGCATCACGAGACATGCAAATGCATCTTGTAAATGCCTTGAAAAATGCACAAGAGCAACATGGAAATGTATTAAAATCACGCAAGTACACCTAAAATCAACTAAGTGCATTACATAGGGGCACAGAAAGTCATAAAGTGCACCAAAAATTATGCAAATATTAATGCCAGAGTTGACCCAAACCCCAATAAGGAAAATAAATATTATTAATCAAACACAAATAGAGGTTTCAATCAAAGATAATTAAAACTAGGAAATAACGACATGACTCAATTAGGGTTGAGGGCGATGATGATAGTGTTGTGGTTTAAGGGGAACAGTAAGTGGTAGATGGCTAGAAAAGGCAGCAACAAGTGGGAGGTGGTTGGAAAGGGGGCTTGGTGTTATGTTGTGGGGTTGGAAGGGAAAGGCGGCAGGTTGGAGGTGGCAAGGCAGGGCAGCAGTAGGTTAGAAGTGGTTGGAAATGTGGTGGCACCGGGTAGATAGGTGGCTAGAAAGGTTGGTAGCAAGCTAGAGACGCAGGGCTGGAACCTTAAGGGGAGATGGCTGGGAGGGATGGTTGGCTACAAGAAAATAGCGCACACTCTATTTTTGAAAGATAGTAGTAACGACAACGACAACGATGACGATGGAGAAAGAGAAGCAGAAAATGATAGAAAACCACCACTATGGGACAAGTTACATTCACAGCACTCTCTCGCCATCGGATGTAGAATGAGATGTCAACGGCTATCCTGACAGAAATATGAAAGAAAAAAATTGCTCTAAAACAAAACAAATAACATATATAGAGAGCTAGGGTAAAGAGAAGTGGGCCCTACTGATAATAGAAGGGTACCCCAAGCTTGAAAGGACCGGTTGGTCCCTCCTGTGCTTGAACTGAACCGGTCCAGTGTGTCTAAACTCGACTTTTGTCGCGCCTAGAGAATGACACCTCGCTTCAGTCTCCTGATGTTGGGGGAGCTTCGACCTCATATGTCGGAGCTTATGTGTACTCTTAATAAGGAGTCAAATATGTCACACTAAAGGTAGTCAAAATGTTGTAATCTCTCGGTAAATGAATCTCGTAAACGTTGTCAACGTTTTCATTCAACTTCTTGAGCTCTGGGCCTAAATTTCCTGAATTGGCCCCATGGTAAATCTCTTTATTCAACCTGGTCACAGTATATATCTTTCCTGAAAACATCATTTTCTTCCTTATTTTATTAGCTTGTGCTTGGTAAGTATGGTTTTGCTTGGTGATCTCATTTCCCACTTCCTCGTGTATCCTCTGAATCTCATGTACCTTCACCTCAGCATTGGTACTAAGCTCCGATGTGGGAAGAACTGGAACAAACTCAAGCGATAGAGGTGGACTAGTTAGGTCCAATGGTGCAACTACCTTATAAAGTTTGACTAACAAGAGTGACACTTCCGTCTTTGCTCCTCTAAAATATTGCTTCACCCCCTTATGTCACCCTTGTCTCTTCGGCTCTCTTACAAACTGTTGGCCAAATCATAGGGTCAGTTTGAAGCAGCTGGAGCTTATTGAATAATCTGCTGATAAGCTGATTAAAAATAATTTGCTGATAAAGTAGGTGTAGTGGCTATTACAATTTTTTATTTTTTTTGGAAAAATTAGACCGCAGCCAGAAAGTTATCACCGCACCTAAATAGGCGCGGTGTGAAAACGTTGTTTTTAGCGTTTTGAAAACACATAAGCTGCACAAACGCAGTTTACCCAAACAGGTCAGGTGTGTTTTCAAAATGTCACCGCACCAAATAAGCTGCCCCAAACAGACCCTTAGTGGAGCAAAAAAGGCAAGGCAATTGTTAGGAAAATTGAAATGTGTGATGAAGAATGGAAGCGCTTGAAAGAGGATGAGGAGATCATGACCATGGAAATGGCCGACAGTGTGGTGACGTGGTTAATGGAGGCCGGCGAATGACTCACTCAAGTCGGTGGCGTGATTAGATGTGAATTACTTATGCCATCAAATGAAGCTCTCGTTTGATGGGATTAATAAATTTAATATCTTATATTTAGAAAATTAATGATTGCACCATTAGTACATTTCCTAGTAAATTTACACTTAAAATTTTTGTTATTCTTGTGTTTATAATGCATGGGAAAAAATTGGAAAATGACCACTTAAGAAAAAGGAAGATTTATTTGCATACCACTCAATTCGAATATATTTACATATCTAACACCTAAACTTCAATCTTTACATACATATCACCTTATATATGCATGGAATGGCGTATTTCACATTTTAAAAATTAAAATAGTAGTATTTTTCAAGTGATATGAAAGATTTCAATGGTATAAATGTGTTAGATATGTAAATACATCAAAATTGAGTGATATGATAAAGATTATCATTTCGTGGCCATAATGAATCATCTAAACCAATTAATTAAGAAAATTTGTTGGAAATATTTCATTTCCATGTGAATCATAATGAATAAGTGAAAAAGTTGTCCCCCCTCAAAAGAAATGTTAGTTTTGCCCTTGTCAAACGAAGTGAGTGAATTGCGTCCATACACAATCTAAAATAGTGTGCGTCCCATCGTCCGACTCATGGGCCTATTGAAGGCAAATTCAGCACGGGCTAGACGCAAGTCTTACTGCTTGATGTCATTTCCTATGAAGCACCTCAAGAGGTTTCCTAGGCTCTTGTTCACCACTTCCGTCTGACCATCAGTCTATGAGTGCGTTGCGAAGCTGAATTGAAATTTGTCGTCCCTATCAGAGATAATGGTCATAAGAATCTCATGCAATCTCACTATCTTCGTGAAGTACAAATCAATAACATGTGATGCATCTAGTGTCTGGTAGCACAACACAAAATTAGCCATCTTTGAGAACTTATCAATCATGAGCATCACTGAATCTTTGTTCTATTGCATCCTCGGAAGACCTACTATGAAGTCCATAATGGCATACACCCATGGAGCCTTCGATACTGGTAATGAGATATACAACACTAAGTTTTATCCCCTGCTTATCACTCCACATCTCTCATCCGTCTGAGCCAAAAGAAATGTTCTCTTACAATTGTGAGGGTCATGTTTTTGCCAAGGTGAACTGCTAGTCTCCCGTTGTGACTCTCATGAATGATGGACTCCCTCAGCAAGCATTTGGGCATACACGACCTATTCTGGTGGAACAGAAAACCATCAGCTCAGTAGTATAGTCCTATCGGCCTCTCCTAACTTTATTCTCAAATTTCCCTAAAATCCTTATCTGTCTTGTACTGTTTCTTCATCACCACGAATCCCACAACTCTAGCCTTCGTCGAGGTGATCAGCAAATGGCAGCTCAAGGCATCTACGAGCCAATTCTAACTCCCACCTTGCGCTTAAGAACGAATTGGAATAATACCCAGAACACAACCCAAGACGCATTTCCTACCCTTCAGCTTCTTCTCACTGTTCTAGAATCTCAATGCCTCATGATTTATGAATAAAGTCAACTTGCTCATAAATAGGTAGTGACTCTACAGGCGGAGGGCTCTCACAATGGCATAGAACTCCTTATCGTAGATCGAAAACTTTCTTCTTGAACTCATTCAACTTCTCACTGAAGAATGTTATAAAGTGTCCTCCCAAGTTCCGCATTGTTTCAATCCCCACATTAGAGGCGTCACACTCCACCTCGAACAATTGGTTAAATTGGTTAAAATCTAGCAAGATTAACACTGAGACCTGTGTCGCCTTTTCCTTTCGGTGTATAGAAACTGGACTAGGCTACCTTTGTCCATCGAAACTTCTCTCCCATTAGAAGCTCTATCAGGGAAGTTGTAATAGCATTGAAGCTCATGATGAGCCGCTTGTAAAATGATGCACAAAAACAACTTCACCTCGGTAAAAGACTATGGGGGCGTCCAACTCGCGATTGTCTCTATCTTCGTAGGGCCCATCTGAATATCTGCACTGGATACAATATAACCCAAAAAACATACCAGAGTCGTCATAAAATGGCACTCCTTCGAATGGGCATAAAATTTCTCCAATCGCAGAACATCAAAACCCCGCCTCAGATACTACAAATGCTCCTCAGAACTGTTGTAGACAAGAATGTCATCAAAGTATACAACCAAAAACTTCCTGATGTGAACCCAAAACACCTAATTCATCAGAATCATAAATTTGTTAGGTGCATTGGACAGTCTAAATGACATGACGGTCCACTCATACAACCCATCTCTGGCCTTGAAGGCGACTTACACTCATCTCCCTACCCTTTTATGATCTGATGATACCCACTCTCAGTTCAATCTTGGAAAATATTGCAACTCCATGTAACTGATCCAGTAGACCGTCCAAGTGAGGGATACGAAACAGGTATTTGATGGTGGTCTTGTTGATAGCCCGACTGTCAATGCACATTTCTTCACGAGCCATCCTTCTTGGGCACCATCAATATGGGGATAGCGCACAAGATAACACTTTGCTCACTAGTCCAAGAGCAATGAGATTCTACACATGCCGTTGTAACTCCCCGTACACCGTTGGTCTCAATCTAATGCAAG